AATAGTACGTTTCTCGTCACTTTAAACTTAACAACTTTTATAATACACGCTATAAATCACAGCGATTTACAATCTCATTAATTTTGCTCTCGACGAGTGCAAAACACACACTTAACGGCTCACTAGCTCAAAACTAACAGAACCATAAATTACACGGAACTCAAAGTAACTTCTGCTCTCTCTTCATTTTCACTGCTGGCTTTCGCTGCCAGGCTTATATGCAAACGAAGAGGGCATCTCGAACACACTCGGACTTCTCCGATCATTCGAGAAACTCATCACGCACGCACTCGTCAGCAGTGTCATGTGACTTCCGCTGTCGTAACAGCATTCAAGTAAATGAAGAGAGGTTTAAAAGCTGGGAAGGGGAACAAGCTTAGTTCTATATCATTTGAAGTAGATGGTTCTTTAGTGAAGGTCCATTAACAGGGGCAAAGTAGTGGTAAAAAACTCAAAAACACAAAAACTCCCATAAAAACAGTAAAGTGCAAAATGAAAAACTGAAAATTCGTATGCATGTTCCCATGAACCCAGTAAACTCCTAATTCAAATATTATAAAGATCCAGCTATAGGTAGAAAGTATGGAGTAAAAAACTGTAAAACGCCCATAAAAACCACAAAATGCAAAACTGAAAATTTCAATATATCCCCACATGGACCCAATGAACCACCATAACAAATCTGATGAAGATCCATCTACATGGGGCGAAGTAGTAGTAAAAAACACAAAAACGCTCATAAAAACCGCTAAACTAAAAATTAGAATGTACTCAATGAACCTGCATAAAAAATGTGGTGACGATCCATCTGCAGGGGACAAAGTCTTGGTAAAACACTAAGAAACGCCCATAAAAACTGCAAAACGCAAAATGCAAGTATAAACATTTCTATGTATCCCTCCCTGGACTCAATGAACTGCTTTATCAAATTTGGTGCAGATTCATCCATAGGGGACAAAGTAGTAGTAAAACACTCAAACAATCAAAAACGCCCATAAAAACCACAATACGCAAAATGCAAATCTAAAAATTTCAATGTATCTCTCCCTGGACACAATAAACTGTTATATCAAATTTGGTGAAGATCCATCAACACGGGGCGAAGTAATGGTAAAAACCTGAAAACGCCCATAAAAACTGCAAAATCCAAAATGCAAAACTAAAAATTTCAATGTATCTTCAGATGGACTCAACGAATCTGCATAACAAATTTGGTGAAAATCCATCTAGAGGAGGAAAGTAGTGGTAAAAACTCAAATATACGTAAATAAACCACAAAACGCAAAATGAAAACGTGAAAATTTCTCTGTATCTCCACATGAACCCATTGAACCCCCATATCCAATTTGGTGAAGATCTATCAACAGGAGGCATAAGAGTGGTGTTGTTGCCATTCTTAGGACTACTTCACCTACTGTTTATCGAACTTCGCTAAATTTGGTAATGCGATTCGTTGGGTCCATGAGGATAACATTGAAATTTTCAGTTTTTCATTTTGCGTTTTTGCGGTTGTTATAGGTGTTTTTGTGTTTTTTACCACTATTTCAGTTCTTAATTTTGCAGTTGTTATAGGTGTTTTTGAGTTTTTTACTACTAATTCACCCCTTGTAGATGGATCTTCACCAAACTTGTTATGGAGGTCCATTAGGTCCTTGGAGAGATACAATGAAATTTTCAGTTTTGCATTGGTGAAGATGTATTAACAGGTGACGAAAGAGTGGTAAAAAACTCAAAAACCTAAAAACGCCCATAAAAACCGCAAAACACAAAATCCAGAACTGAAACTTTCAATGTATTTCCCCATAGGCTTACTTTACTGAAATTTGGTGAAGATCCATCTACAGGGGGAGAAGTAGTAGTAAAAAACTCAAAAATTCAAAAACACCTATAAGAACTGCAAAATGCAAAACTAAAAAATTCAGTCTATCTCCCCATGGATCCAGTGCACCTCCATAACAAATTTGGTAAAAGTCCGTTAACAGGAGGCGAATTAGTGGTAAAAAATTCAAAAACTTCAGAATGCCCATATGAACCACAAAACGCAAAATGCAAAGCTGAAAATTTCAATGAATACTCCATGGATCCAATGAACCTCTATATAACATTTGGTGAAGATCCATCAACAGAGGGCGAAGTAGTGGTAAAAAAATTCGAAAACCTAAAAACGCCCATAAAAATCACAAAATATAATATGAAAAACAATAAATGTCAATGTATTTCCCCATTGACATATTTGGTAAAAGTCCATCAAAGTACTGGTAAAAGCTCAAAACTCAAAAACGCCCATAAAAACCGGAAAAAGAAAAATGCAAAACTGAAAATATCAATGTATCCCTGCATAGACCCATCGAACCTCCATATCAAATTTGGTGAAGATCTATTAACAGGTGACGAAATAGTGGTAAAAAACATAAAACCCCTATAAAAGCGGCAAAACTAAAAATTTTAATGTATCTACCCATGGTCCGAATGAACGACAATACGAAATTTGGTCAAGATCTATCTACAGTGGGCGAAGTAGTGGTAAAAAACTGAAAAACGCCTATAAAAACCGCAAAACGGAAAGTGCAAAAGTGAAAATTTCAATGTATCTTCCCCATGTATCCAAAGAACCGAAAAAACTAAATTTGGTGTTGATCTATCCACAGGAAGTGAAGTAGTTGTAAACAACACAAAAACGCCAATAAAACCGCAAAATGCAAAACTACAAATTTCAATGTATCTCCACATGGACCCAATAAACATCCATTTCAAATTTACTGAATATCTATTTAAGGAAGCGCGTGGGCCCGGCATGGCCAGGTGGTTAGGGCGCTCGACTCGCAATCTGAGGGTCGTGGGTTCGAATCCCCGTCCCACCGAACATGCTCGCCCTTTCAGCCGTGGGGGCGTCATAACGTGGCGGTCAATCCCACTATTCGTTGGTAAAAGAGTTGCCCAAGAGT